AAGGCAATAAGAAAGATCAGAGCAGAAATAAATGAAATAGAGAATAGAAAAACAATAGAAAGAATCAACAAAACCAAAAGTTGGTTCTTTGAAAGGATCAACAAAATCGACAAACCAATGGCCAAACTGACAAAATAAAAACGAGAGGACGCAAATAACCCAAATAAGAAATGAAATGGGGGACATTACAACAGACCCAACTGAAATAAAAAGGATCATAACAGAGTACTGTGAAAAACTATACTTCAACAAATTTGAAAAAAGAGGAAATGGACAAATCTCTAGAGACACACTATCTACCCAAACTAACACAAATTGAAGTTGAAAATCTGAATAGATCCATGACAAGAGAAGAGATTGAAAAGGTAATAAAAAAAAAACACCCAACAAAGAAAAAAGCCCTGGTCCAGATGGCTTCACTGGAGAATTCTACCAAACATTCAGAGAAGAGCTTATGCCAGTACTACTCAAACTATTTCAGAACATAGAAAAGGAAGCGATCCTTACAAATTCTTTCTATGAAGCCAGCATAACCCTGATACCAAAACCAGCCAAAGATACCACGAAAAAAGAAAATTACAGACCAATATCTCTCATGAATATTGATGCAAAAATTCTCAAAAAATTCTAGCCGATAGAATACAGCATTATATAAAAAAAAAATACACCACAACCAAGTGGGATTCATACCAGGTATGCAAGGATGGTTCAACATTAGAAAATCAATCAGTGTACTTCACCACGTAAATAAAATAAAAGAATCACATGATCATCTCAATTGACGCAGCAAAAGCATTCGACAAAGTCCAACACCCATTCCTGATAAATACTCTCAATAAAATAGGTATAGAAGGGAAATTCCTCAACATAATAAAGGGCATCTATACAAAACCAACAGCCAACATCATTCTTAATGGAGAGAGGCTGAAAACATTCCTTGAGCAGGAACAAGACAAGAATGCCATTTATCACCACTCCTATTTAACATTGTGCTGGAAGTCCTAGCAAGAACTATAAGGCAAGAAAAAGAAATAAAGGGCATCCATACTGGTAAAGAAGAAGTAAAACTGTCCCTATTTGTGGATGATATGATACTATACATAGAAAATCCAAAAGACTGTATGAGAAAACTACTGGAAATAATAGATTCGGCAGCGTAGCAGCATATAAGATAAGCATACAAAAATCAGTTGGATTCCTATATACCAATAATGAGAACTACAAAAAGGAAATCAGGAAAACAATACCATTTATAATAGCTCCTAAAAAAATAAAATACTTAAGAATAAATCTGACCAGGGATGTAAAAGACCTATACAAAGAAAACTACAAAACACTACTGTAAGAAACCAAAAGAGGCCTACATAAATGGAAAAACATACCATGCTTATGGATAGGTAGACTCAATATTCTGAAAATGTCAGTTCTACCCAAAGCAATCTATAAACACAATGCAATCCCTATCCAAATACCAGCAGCATTCTTTAAAGAGATGGAAAAACCAATCATTATATGGAAACGGAAGAGGCCCTGGATAAGTAAAGCACTATTGAAGAAGAAAACTAAAGTAGGAAGACTTGCACTACCTGACCTCAGAGCCTACTACACAGCTATGGTAGTCAAAACAACCCGGTACTGGTACAACAATAGACACATTAACCAAAGGACAGAATTGAGAACCCAGATGTAAATCCATCCACCTACGGTCACCTGATCTTCGACAAAGGCCCAAAGTCCATCAAATGGGAAAAGACAGTCTTTTTCAGTGCAGGCAAAACTGGATGTCCATCTGCAAAAAAAATGAAACAGGACACATACCTCACACCATACACAAAAACGAATTCAAAATGGATCGAAGACCTAAATATAAAACCATAAAGTATAAAGATCATAGACAAAAATAGTGTCAATGCTAGAGGACGTAATACATGGCATAAACAGGATACAAACCATAACTAACAATACACAAACACCAGAATATAAGCTAGATAACTGGGATCTTCTAAAAAATTAAACACTTATGCTCATCAAACATTTCACCAAAAGAGTAAAAAGAGAACCTGCAGACCGGGAAAAACATTTTTGGCTATGACAAATCCGACAAAGGCCTAATCTCTAAAATCTACAGGAAAATCCAACACCTCTACAACAAAAAGAAATAATCCGATTAAAAAATGGGCAAAGGATATGAACAGACACTTCACCAAAGAAGACATTCAGGCTGTTAACAGATATGTGAGGAAATGCTCGTTCGTGATCACTAGCCATTAGAGAAATGCAAATCAAAACCACAATGAGATTCCATCTCACCCCGACACTACTGGAATGAATCAAAAAAACGGAAAATAACAAATGTTGGAGAGGCTCTGGGGAGACTGGAACTCTTATGCACTGCTGGTGGAAACGCAAAACGGTACAACCATTTTGGAAAACGATATGGTGCCTCCTTAAAAAGTTAGAAATACCATATGCTCCAGCAATCCCACTTCTAGGAATATATCCTAGAGAGATAAGAGCCATCACACGAATAGACATATGCACACCCTTGTTCACTGCAGCATTATTCACAATAGTAAAAAAATGGAAACAATGTAAGTGCCCATCAACAGAGGAATGTATAAACTATGGTACATACACACAATGGAGTACTACGCAATTAAAGAACAATGATAAATCTACAAAGCATCTCACAACATGAATGAATCTGGAGAGCATTATGCTGAGTGAAATAAGTTAATCACAAAGGACAAATATTGTATGAGACCACTATTATAAAAACCCATGAAAACACACAAAAAACAATCTTTGATGGTTACGAGAGAAGGGATGGGTGGGGAGGGAAAAACACTAAATAGACAATTGATAAGTGTAACTTTGGTGAAGGGTAAGACAGTACATAATACTGGGGAAGCCAGCACAACCTGACCAAGGCAAGGTAAAGGAAGCTCCATAGACACATCCAGACTCCCTGAGCAACTGAATTGCTGGGCTGAGGGCTGGGGACCATGGTATTTGTGAACATCTAGCTCAACTGGCATAACATAGTTTATAGGGAAAATGTTCTACATGCTACTTTGGTGAGTAGTGTCTGGGGTCTTAACAGCTTGTGAGCAGCCATCTAAGATACTCCACTGGTCCCACCCCATCTGGAGCAAGGGAAAATGAACAAAACCAAAGACACAAGGGAAAGACTAGTCCAAAGGACTAATGGACCACAACTACTGCAGCCTCCACCAAACTGAGTCCAGCACAACTAGATGGTGCCCAGCTACCACCACTGACTGCTCTGACAGGGATCACAATAGAGGGTCCTGGACAGAGCTGGAGGAAAATATAGAAAATTCTAACTCACAAAAAAAAAAAAAAAAAAAAAAGAAGAACTTACTGATCTGATAGAGACTGGAGAAACCCTGAGAGTACGGCCCCCAGACACCCTTTTAGCTCAGTACTGAAGTCACTCCTGAGATTCACCCTTCAGCCAAAGATTAGATAGGCCCATAAAACAAAACAAGACTAAATGGGTACACCAGCCCAGGAGCAAGGACAAGAAGACAGGAGGAGACAGGAAAGCTGGTAATGGGGAACCCAAGGTCAAGAAGGGGAGAGTGTTGACATGTTGTGGGATAGGCAACCAATGTCACAAAATATGTATATTAATTGTTTAATGAGAAACTAGCTTGCTCTATAAACCTTCATCTAAAGTACAATTAAAAAAAAAAAAAACCTAAGGATTTTTAAAAAATATTTATTTTTGTTGTTGAGAATATACACAGCAAAACATGCACCAATTCAAGTTTCTACATGTACAATTCAGTGACATAAAAAAACTAAGTTTTTAATCTTTTCCTTTTGGCTTTGCTTATGTGAAGCTTTCTAATAATTTTACTGTTTCATCTCTTTTGTTTAAATGTTTTATTAATTTCAAGTTTATTTTTTCTATAAAGTACTTTTGCCTGGGCTTGATTCAGTTTCATAAAGGATCATGAAGGCGAAATGTTGGCTGTCTGGAGCTCAGGGCAGACCAGCTTTGAAATGAATGGGCATGTCTAAAAGTTCTGTGTATGTGCCTTTACAGATACAAGTACTGGCTGAAGCTGACCACTTCAAGGTTGCAGTCAATGATGCCCATTTGTTGCAGTACAATCATCGGATGAGAAATCTCGGAGAAATCAGAAAACTGGCAATTTCTGGTGATATAATCCTCACCAGTGCTTCACATGCTATGATATAATCTTAAAGCATCAGATACTTCTAAAAAAAAAAAGAAATTTGAATGTAAACCTTACATATCTAAAAGCTTCATGTTCACTGAGTGAAAAATTGTAACTTTATCCATCATTTTCCTTCTTATAAATCAACAATTAAATAAATATTCTTATTCTAAGTTATCTGTCTTTATATGTCATTTAAGTAAAGAAATTTATTCTAGATTTTGCACAGTGGACTCAATGGAGAAATATGTAGCAATATTAATACTGCATTAGGGTCTCCCAATTTTTTCTATGCTTGCTAAAATATCTTTTAAGAAAGCAGGTGTTAGGAGTAAATACTACCCCAAAATTATCCTCTCTCTTCTAGAGTTTTGTAAAAACCGGGAGATGCTACAGGGAGATCATTGTCTCATTTTCTTATTTAAAGAAATGTTACATTGTCAGAAAATGAGAAAAGTAAAAAAAAAAGTTTACCTATAGATGACCCGTGTCATGGTTTGCATTATGTCCCCCCAAAAATGTGTGTATCAATTTGGCTAGGCCATGATTCCTGGTACTGTGTGATTTTCCAGTATGTTGTAAACCTGCCTCTATGATGTTAATGAGGGAGGATGGGTGGCAGTTGTGTTAGTAAGGCAGGACCTGATCTACAAGACTGGATTGTGTCCTGAGGCAATCTCTTGAGATATAAAAGACAAGTGAGCAGTGAGACAGGGGGACCTCATACCATCAAGAAAGCAGTGCCGGGAGCAGAGCGCGTCCTTTGGACCGGGGTCCCTGCGCAGACAAGCTCCTAGTCCGGGGGAACACTGAAGAGAAGAAGGCAGACAGAGAGAAAAAGCCTTCCCCTGGAGCTGACGCCCTGAATTTGGACTTTTAGCCTACTTGACTGTGAGGAAATAAACTTCTCTTCGTTAAAACCATCCACTTGTGGTATTTCTGTTATGGCAGCACTAGATGACTGAGACAACCAACCCATGACCAACAGACAATCATTGTTAGCATTCTATTTCTTTTGACTGCTTTTTAATTCTATTTTCTCTCTCCCAACTACAGTTCACTGCTTTCAAACAGTATTTGATACTAATATGAGACTACCTTCCCATACGTTCTCTTGGTTTTTGTGAAATCTCTAGATTAGTACAGATAAAACCCAAGTAGTTTCTTTTTTTAGATTGTCAGCTGCAAAAATTTAATTGTTCCCACTGTCAAAATTCTTACCCCACCTTTCTGCCCTTCCTTATTACAAAGAAGCCCAAAGATTAATACAATTTCAGAACTGGGATGTGGTCACACCACTTCTTTTTATAGAAGACCAAGATATTATTTTTATCAATTATTGTTTCTATAATACCATCTTCTCAAATACTTTAAATTGGTATTTTTCACAGATTGGGTTTCCCAGGAAGCAGAGATTAGCGTGCAACTGGTTTATGAGGGAGTGCTCTTATGATCAACACCTGTGGGGTGAGAAGGTACAGGATTGGGCAGAGGGGGAAGTCGAGCAGGGATGCTTCAACCTACTCTACCCTAAGGGATGAAGCTGGGATGACTCTTCAGAGTTGTCTTGAGATGGGCTAAGGGAGTCAGGCCTTTATAGCCCCATTCCAATTAGTCACTGAATATCCTTCCCCTGGGCAACAAGGTGTAACCTTGGGTGAAGTGGGTCTCTTGGGCTGAGGCAGTGTTCATTACGGGATGACAGAAACTGAGGGAATACGTTAAGTCCTTCAGTCCTAAAGAAGGATCTGGGCAGCACATCACAGCATATTTCAAAAAATATGTAAATTCCTTACCCTAACATTCTGGTCTCTACTTGTGTGATCAAATGGAAAAACATAAGCTTTGGAGACGAGAGAACTTGGCTTACAGGCAGTCTAGTTTCTAGCTATTTGACTTTGCACAAAACTACTTAAATACTCTGACCCTTGGTTTCTTTGTCTATATAAAACATCTCTTGTAGGGTATCTATGATTAAGTGAAATACTGTTTGCAAAACAAAACAAAACCTGTTGCCATTGAGTCAATTTTGACTCATGTTGACCCTATAGGACAGAGTAGAAATGCCCCACAGGGTTTCCAAGGAGTGGCTGGTGAATTTGAACTGCCAACCTTTTGGTTAGCAGCTGGGTTCTTAACCACTGTGCCACCAGGGCTCTAGTGTTTGCAAAGGGCCCACCAAATAGTAGGTCTTCAATAAACGGAAATTCCTTCTCTTCCTATTTTGGAAAGGCTCTTGTTCTACCTAAGCAGTTTTCTTTCATTTTATCTCTAAGGATTTTCCTGATACCTCAAAACCCTACAGTCCAATAGCCCAAGGCCAAGAACACTCTTATCTAGTTGTAGGCCACACTGATGTTTGTCCAACTAATATCTATTTCCCCTTTCCTGACAATCATGGTTTTATTCAGGTATGATTCCAGATCCAATAGGGGATCCTGATTAGTTTAAGCCAACCAATACATGGAATTTCCCTGTTGACTTTTATTGATCTGGGAGGATGTGGGATGTGGCATTAGTTGGCCCAATTAGATCAAAGGGGAGGATATAGCTCTGATTGCCACTAGCAGCCATCTATGGCCCCACAACCACCCGGCCTTAAAAGAGAAGCCAGCAGCAAAGGTGGCAGAATGAACTGTGGACTGAAGGTTGAACCTTGATATCATCATTGAGCTGTGGATTGTAAAGTGCCTGGAATCACTCTGAGGATTTGTGAAACAATTCCCTTATTGTTAAACCAGTTTGAGTCCATTTTACTATTACTTAATAGCCAAAGCTTTCTAAATGATTCAATAGTAAATCTTGTTAAAGCTACCAAAAAAAAAACCATGTTTTCTGACACCTATTTTCATCTGCTCTATCTGTGAAGTCAAACATTATTTTTTTATGTTTTTTGTTCAACATGGCCTGCTTAAATTATTCATTAATGGACTGTTAAAGCTACTTTTACCTTTTGTTAAGATTAGGCATTCCGAGCACATTCTTCTCAGCCAGCACCTCATCTAGCTTCTCCATAGCCCATGTGGACTGGATGGTAAATGCCATCTTTCCTACAAGCCTAACACATCTTCCTCTGACAAGAAAAGTAGAGGTGTTTTGTTTTGTTTGAAAACCACTAATATGGGGGCTGTCCACAAAGTTGCTGCTTACTTGGTGAATGTCTCCAACCCTCAACTCATCTGCAGACAGAAATAACTGGACCCAGGTCTAGATACAAACTTTAGCTACTCTGAGTTTTCTTGGTGCTCTGTTATTCAGATGGCTGTGTCTTTGACAATCCTATAGCTAAGAGTTTTGAAAAAGAAAATATTTCAAGCACATTAAGTGATATCAAGATGGTAATCAGAGAAACTGTGAGCAGGGTAAGGGATTATATGAGAACTCTGTACTTTCTAAGCAATATTCCTGTAAACATAACACTGCTCTAAAAAAGAAAGTATATTAAGAAAAGCAAAAAGAAAGAAAAAGGCAAGAATTTAACAGCCACCTCTAATAATTTAATCATTTGAAACTGCAGCATATAAACTGACTTCAGAATATGGAAAGCTCAACTACAGAAATTCAATACACACTGGGAAATGCAATGTGCAAAGCTATTCAACATTAACAGATTTAAGTGTTCAAACTATGAATAAAATACAAAAGGATTCAAATATTTCTATCGAAGTTTAATTTTACATTTTGATTAAACTGAAGAATGCTACATTAGTTGTAAGTAAGTATACTTAGCCTCAAGTTTATACATTCTGTGTAGTTAGTAATGTACAGAATATCCCAACTTCCCTTGAAAAACAGTATCATATCTAAAACTTTGATGAACACAGAATTTTTAAATATTACATGACAATATATAACTGGGTTGAACAGAAGTGAACACAAATCCATATTCCTGAAATTCTCAGTATTTCTAAGACTATATCACAGCATTGATAATATGAAGAAAAAAATCTGGATTTACTTTTAAATTCAAAATTCTTCTGGTTGTTCTCCACTGAGGGGCCTTAGAGGTGAAAAGGCAATCAGGTTACCACCAAAGGAAATGTGTCTGGCATGTTCTTGATGTCTCCCCTCCATCTGAGCAAATGGATTACTGCCATTTAAACCTGGCTAGAGTAAGCGAGATCATTAAAGTAACCATTAAGAGTTTCACCAATTAAGTCTTTAGCACTGTTAGTTGCTAGTGGATTCATTAACAAATAAAATTTTTTTCTCTATAATAATAAAATGTAACATGAATTATTAATAGAGCCATTAAAAACATGATTATGCTACTTTGTAAGAGATCTAATTTTAAATATACAGTTTTTTTTAATTGAAAAGGTATATTAGGAATACATGCTTAAAAAGAGGCGATTAGTAATACATAAGTGGACTTAAGCAGCATATGCAGACTCCACAAACTGTGATCCATATAACAGCACTTAATAGTCATTTTACTAGAGTGTGATCCTGCTGGGGTCCTTTTCTTTCTTCCCCCCTCAAGCCCTCCTTCAGGTTCATATGATGCTACTAGGCAAGTAATAATTTGGGCCTAAAATAGACAAGTGGACCTATATAAAGGTATATATCAATTTATGGGCATGGGGAAGAAATCACAGGGAGAAAAACTATATGGGTACTAAGATTTATCAGGTCCCTGGGTGGCACAAATGGTTAAGCACTGGACCACTAGCTGGAAGATTGGTGGTTTGAAGCCACCCAGAGGTGCCTCGGAAAACGGGCCCGGAGATCTGCTTCCAAAAGGTCACAGCCTTGAAAACTCTATGAAACAGCTGCACTCTGCACACATGGGGTTGCCATGAGTCAGAGCTGACTCAATGGCAACCAACAATAGCAACAACAAAGGTTGATCAATGAGATAATGTATAACTGTGAAGTGCTTTACAACATATTACTAATAAATCAAAACCAGAATATTATAATTCATTAATTTCCAGGGTCATATATTATCAGAACCGATCATTAACAGTCCAGATCTGGGATCAGGATTAAATCAGGTTTACATAAACTAGCTTTAAATGGAAGTCTCTGGCCCTCTAGGTCTCAGCCTATAATTAAGGAGTTAAGACCAAGGAAAGAAGAGTATGCAGGTCACAGCAACCCACTTCATTCTGCTTCTGAGATACAGGGTAGCCCAGGAGCCTGATCACAAAGAAGCCAGCTTGGAAAGATAATGAAAGCCAAGATATACAGGGGTGCTTAGAGAATTAGTAGCCTAAGGTAGCCACGCATTTGCCAGGGCTCCTGAGGTTGACAAAAATTGTTGCTATTTGAACCTACACTTGCCTTAATGAAAATCTTATATTCTGGGGTCAGAAGTTAGCACACCAAAGCCATCTTATGACCCACTTTAGCAGTTGCCTCTGGAAAATGTAAAAGTGAGGCTTTAAACCAGAGTTGTCAATCCTGGCTGCATATTAGGATCATTCAATGAAAAAAAAAACAATACTAGGGTCCTATTCCAGATCATTGAAATAAAAATCTCTGGGGATGAGGCTGAAAAATCAATGCTATAAACACTGAATACGCAAGTGAGCACTGTTTCACCTATGCCAGTCACACAGCCTGCATCCATGCATATGAATCAGGCAGCTCTGCTTAATAAAGAATTTATAGTTAAAAAGGGAAACAGATTCCTGAAATTATAATACATTCATATTATACTCTCTAATAAGAGATGAAATGTGTATACTGCCAGCATTGCACATGTGCATATATATACATTAACATGGGAGAGGTGAGAACCAGAAAGGCTTCACGAGAGGGCTAATGTTTGTGCTAGATTTAGAGGCAAAAGGCCACCAAAAGTTAAGGCTGGGGAAGGCTTCCAAATAAAAAAGCAGGGCATAAATATAATAATCTAAAAGAATTAGAACTAAAATAACCGATGATGACTGAAGGTGGGATAGACATTATCTCCCCAGTTGTAGGTTTCAGAAGGGCAAAAACCTTACCGTATATTTTTCTTGCATCACTTATAAATACCCAGCATAATCCAAGCCACATATTAGATACTGAAGTAGTCGACCAACTTGTCATGAAAAATTTGATACATAAATCATATACGGAAATGAATCTTCAGGGTTCAGTACTAAACCATGATTTTTTTTTTTATTGTTGTGCTTTAAGTGAAACTTTACAATTCAAGTTAGTCTCTCATACAAAAATTTATACATAAACATAGTTTTGTGACCCTACTTGCTCTCCCTATACTGTGACAGCACACTCTTCCTCTCCACCCTGGATTTCCCATGTCCATTCAACCAGCTCCTGACACTCTCTGCCTTCTCATCTAGCCTCCAGACAGGAGCTGCCCATTTAGTCTCATGTATCTACTTGAGCTAAGAATAAGAAGCACACTCTTCATGAGTATCGATTTACGTCCCATAGTCCAGTCTAATCTTTGTCTGAAGAGTTGGCCTTGGGAACGTTAAACCATGATATTTTAAAGTATATAAACATGGGAAGTGTTTTCTTCTCTTGAGAAAAATGAATAACAAATAGATATCAAAGCAAGCAAAATAATGATATAAATTTTAAACTTTGTACACAAATGTAAAAGTGAGTAATATTAATTTTATAAAAGAAACCTAGAATAAAAAAACTTATTAGGAAACTTACTGAATCAAGAAGATGGCATTCAGTTGTGAGGCTTTTATTATCAAACAGTACTGAAAAACAACAAAGAAAAAATTTTTTAACTTTTTAAAGAATATTTTTTCAAATAGTACTGAAAAACAAAGAAAATAATTTTTAACTTTTTAAAGAATATTTTTACAATCAAAGGTTGCTAGAAATGAATATAGCCTTAAACAATTGTAAGTTTCCACATACCAAACGCTAAGACAAAAATATAAGTCATTTTATGCAATAAAGGAGCCCTGGTGGCACAGTGGTTAAGTGCTCGGCTACTAACTGAAAGGTCGTGGTTTGAACCCACCTGCTGCTTCTAGAGAGAAAGATGTGACAGTCAGCTTCTGTAAAGACTTACAGCCTTGAACACCCTACGGGGCAGGTCTACTCTGTTCTACAGGGTCGCTGTGAGTCAGAATCAACTTGACGGCCATCTTTTTCTTAATGCTATAACATTTTTTTAAATGTAGTTAAATTTTTTTTTTTACTAATTCTTACCTTTAATCCCAGTATAAAAAGAGTATTCTGTAAACCAATCTCATACTTACAATGTTAGGTACCTAAAAAATGTTGGATGAAAAATACAGTTGAAGGGCAGGCATTATATGTCTGGCCAAGATTATATTGTTTTCTTTTGCCTTAGGCCCCAGAGACCAGCACCACAGAATAGCAGATGAAACTGTCCACAAAAACACAAGAGCCGTTTCCTACTGCAGAACAATCATAACACAGACAGTAGGAATAGACACTAGGGAAGAAAAATAGGGCATTTTGAAGAGAGGATTGGGGGTGTGTATTGAAAAAAACTAAACAACCTTTAAGGAATTTTTCTGAGTCTTGGCAAACAGTGAGGGATCCCAAATACTTAGGCCTAATTGTAAAATGCGTCCCTGGGTGGTACAAATGGTTAAGTACTCAACTACTAGCCAAAAGATTGGAGGTTTGAACCCACCCAGAGGAGCCTTGGAAGACAGGCTTGGCGATCTGTTTCAGCCGCACACATGGGGTTAACCATGAGCAGGAATCAACCTGACAGCAACTCACAACAACAAATGTAAACTGCTCCTTACACCCAACTTGGGTTAATATGTGTTGATTTCCATTAGTTTTCCCTCAAGGGGATTAGGGTAGAGTGTGGAATGCTACCACACAAACCAACTCATAAGCTATTTACTGTGGATGTCCAATTCTTCAAACTTTATCCTTACAAACTGGTACTCTGAAGTACTTAGAATGATCTATAGTTTAAATTCATTTATTAAACAAAGCTGCATTTAAATATATTACAAAGACCCCACCTGATTGACACAAAGAAATTTTAGTTTCTTCCTCCTGTGAGATGTTATTTTGTGATGGTATGTGTTTTTCAGGGCTACTCATCAAAACATCTTGTGCTATAATGGGAGATTTCAGTTCCATTCCTTCCATAACATCTGACATGTCTTCCATTTTTTTAGTATTATCTGCTACTTCACCAGCAAGTAGAAGCAAATTCATTCTTTCACTGGGTAAACAATCCATCTCAAAGTTTATCTTATTTGCATCCTAAAGGTAAAGATTAGTATTATATTTAATTATCAAAATTGCAACAAACAGAAAAAGCTTCATTGCTGTTAAAAATAAAAAAAAGAAGGATGACATTATAAATACAGGCTAGAGAACACTGTAAATCCTATCTTGTTTCCTGAACAATTAATTCAAATAATGTGAAAGAAATAGTATGATTGAAAGAAAGTTTCTCAGCCAGTATCTATACTCCAGTTCAGAGTCTGGCAAACATTTTCTGTGAAAGGTCATATATAATAAGTATTTTAGGCTTTCTGAGCGATAGGGTCTTTGTCATCCCTACTCAGCTCTGCCACTGTATCTCAAAAGCAGCCAGAGATAATATGTAAACATATAAGCATGGCTGTGTTCTAATAAAACTTTATTTACAAAAATAGGGGCTGTAGCTTGTCTATCTCTGCTCTAGTTCACTGGCTCCATATTCATCCTGATGTTAGGCAAAGAATAAAAGATGGTGCTATCGTTTTAAACAAGCCAAAGACCTTCGTAATAAGAACTGTCATTCTCCGATGGAAATGCTGGGGGTGGTTTATGGAGTTACCATATATACTGAAATAAACAGATAACATAGAGGGTTATCAACTGCCCTGGAGTAGGACTTACATGATTTACTTCAACTAAATCCTGTAATCCGGGACACTGGGCATCTTCTACCATGCTGTTCCTTAACAAGAAAAAAGCAGCATTATACTCACATACTGAACATACTGCTATCTTCGACTTGTGTCTTGAGTCAAACCTTTAAGCAATTAGTTTAGGGAATGGATCAAAGATGGAATCTGGTTCAAGATCAAGCCTGATCCAAAAAGATATGTCTTGGACTATGGCCTTACAAAATAAATGCAATCTTCTACAGAAAGTTCATAAGCCTGTTCCCATGCTGATTAGTCACTTATATAGATCCACCAACAGTACTTTGAAATCTTAGCCAAATTCAAAGTCACACACTAGGGAAAGGTCAGAATGCAGTTGACTTCAGTGGGCGGTATAAGCAAGAACTCAATTATTTTGTAAATGGAGCTTGCTACATTTATTTGCTGGTTATAGCACAATATGTTCTAACCCTGAGGTTCTTAACTCACATTCTACTGGAAATATCTGTCTCAATCTCTTCCAAGTTTTTTTTTTTAATTTACTCTATTTTTCTAGCTTTTTTTCAGTTTTACTTTGCCTTCATTGCACAAAGTTGTTTATTTGTAAGATGTTCTCTTTCAGGATTACTTTTGGGAATTACATAAAAAAATTTTTTTTACAGAGTACTTTTAATATTATCACTCAAATCCAATTGTGGATCTTCTTAGTACAAGATAATAAACTAAAGAACATACAAAGTAAAGCAACTTGCATTTAAGAAATGACAATAAATTGGTATTTTATAATCCGTAAGTTTCCAGAATACCTAAAATATTTTAGTCCCTTGTGGCTAATATACCTTGGTAATTATTAAAAATTAATAGGGTATTCTTTATTTTTTTTGACAGCCTTGTTTCTGCTATGGCTGAGGATTCAATACTGTCCCATCTCTAAATTTATAATAGGTCTAACAGGCCTCTCTGGGCTCTAGACTATACTTTTATTTCCCACTTACTTTCTAGTATCTCTTTCTTATCTTATTTTCAGTGCATTTATTTTCCATGAACAGAGGCTATATCGGTAATTCTGATGTGTTTGTGTGGAGGCAGTACTGTGTAGTAGAAAGAATGTAGGCAGTATCCAGTTTCACCAATTACAAGCTCTGTTTCTGTAAAACTCACAGCCAAGAAAACCCTATGGAGCTCAGTTCTACTCTGTAACACATGGAGTCACTATGAGTTGGAATTGACTCGATGGCAACAGGCTTGGTTTTTTTTTTTTTTTTGATTTGGTGTAAGTTATTAACTTTAAACCTCAGTTTTCTCACTTGAAAAATGGGGAACTAATACCTACCCCACAGAGTTGTTATATGGATTAAAGGAAATGACACGTTAAGGACCCAGAACCATGTCTAGCCCGTGATAGTTATTCAGCTCACGTTAGGTGCCCTTTCTCTGTGCTCTGCCATCTGTCAAGACCCCATTCTTCAGGTACTTTCTATAAAGGCTGGCCCAAGACCCTGTAAGGGAGGCATCAGCATTGCTGTTTTATAGATGGTGAAACTGAAGATCTGTTATGGATTAGATTGTGTCCCCCCTAAAATATGTGTTGTAAATCCTAACCTCTATGCCTGTGGTTATAATTCCATTTGGGAATGGGTTATCTTTGTTGTGTTAATAAGGCAGGACTAGTGGAGGGTGTGTCTTCAGTCAACTTCTTTTGAGATACAAAAGAGATTTAAAAAGCAAGCGAGGAAGCAGAGCTGGGGGAAGATAGATGCCATGCTACATGAAGATCATCAGGAGCCCAGAACAAGGACCTTCCCCTAAAACTGAAAGAGAAAGCCTTCCCCTAGAACCGGCACCCTGAATTTGGACTTCTAGTCTCCTAAACTGTGAGAAAATAAATTTCATTTTGTTAAAGCCACCCACTTGTGGTATTCCTGTTATAGCAGCACTAGGTAACTAAGACAGAAGCTAAGAAAATTAATTAACTCGCCCCAAAGTTTCATAGCTAGTAAGTTATTGAGCTGTTTTTTAGCTCAGATTTGTCAAGCACCAAAGATACTGTCTATTTAATACCAAAGAACACCATATTGCTTCTTCTCCTCTTAGTTCTGCAGAATTTACTTTGTCCATCTAAATATAACCATTTACCAACCTGTAATAGTCTCAGTTTCCTTATTTATAAAGTGAAAGTGTTGCCTATACATTACAGTCATTGTGAAATTTAATTAAAAAATATGTCTGTATTGCATGATCCCACTTACATAAAATATCTATAATGGGCAAATGCATAGAGACCAAAGTTTATTAGTGGAGACCAGGGGCAGGTAGGAGGAGAAAATGGGGAGTTGATTGCTTAAGGAACATCAGTTTCTGTTAAGGGTGATGAAAATTATTTGGAAATGGATAGTGGTGATGGTTATACAACCTGATGAATGTAATTAATGTCAATGAATTGTACACACAAAAATGGTTGAAATGGCAAATGTTTTGTTATATATATTTTACCACAATAAAAAAAAATTTATATACACATACATATACCTGGCACATTTTACCAGCTTAACAATCTGAAATGGTATTTAAGGTCAGCATACAGTTAAACTCTTAGCATGTTAAATAAATACCTGTTTTCAGGAATAATTGGAAGCAAAGTCTTATCAACAATGTGTTCACTTTTGATGCTCTGAGGATCAGGATTCTCTGGTGTCATAGTTTGTCTTAGAAGGTTCATCTCAGCCCTGCTCTGAAACACAGCTTTGCCAACAGACTTAGGTGTTCTAGGTCTTTGAGAAAGACGTTCAGAAGAGATAGAAAGTCCTAGAAGATGAGAGAAATCACTTCAACATCAAAATAGTTCTTTCGTTCAATTTTCATTTTAACTAGAAAAACAGTACAAAGAGAAATTTGGAAGCTGTAATGTAGATGGGTGAGTGTTATAATACTTAGCAGACCCAAGAAAATGAATCCTAAGCCACTAGTGAAGAAAGATGAGAATAAACCCAATTATATCAGAGAACTCCAAAACGAATTGGTGGGTGGTCCCAAGTATCTCTGAAAGTGGGGCTAAAAACAGGAGGATTGTTTCAAAGTCAGTTTAGAGGACAATTAGAGCCCCAGAGTCCCTTCCTTATTCCGCACAGCAGGGCAACTGTCCACAACAGCCATCTACCTCCTCCTCCTCCTCAACCACCACCACCGCCCATCACTGATCAGAAAACTAGGTTTACTTCCTAAAAAAAGGTACAATAGAGGGTCTCTGGGGATACCAGCTACAGTTGATAGGAGTATTATATGGAAAATAAGGGGATTAAGTAAACATGTACAAACAAACTGTTGAGACATTCAGCTTTCTTTTCCTGCAAGGCTCCGGAAAGGCTGGCAGCCAGTATTATACCCTTCAGGCAGCAGATTGGAAGAATCTTCTCTGCGGAATCTGACTAGTACATGAAAAAATATTTAAATACAGTGATATGTAAGTTCCCAGTATAATGGCCCAGCCAAATCAGTCTACAGCAAAGACCCTACTTATGTGAACAGAGTTTCTAGTCAGCTTTTTAGTGATTCACTCTTAACAAGAAGCAGGCAGTGAAGAATCACAAAAAAAAAAAAAAAAAAAAGATCACAGAGGAGAGCCTCTAATATGAGAGAGTGACATCAAAAACAATCAGATGAAAGCATCTTGGAACAAATACTGTCTATACAAGAGGAAGCAAACAAAAACTATCATTAAAATGCTCAGGAAGATAACAGTGCACTTATGAAACAAGTACTGAATGCTATAAAAAGGAACATTCAGAGAATGAGAAAAAGCTCTAAGGAATTAAAACCATGATAGCCAACAGAAAAGGTGAGAAAATCTCCCTGGAAGTAGGAGATAACAACAAATACAGAAAAGAATGATAACAATAGAGTCAGTTTACCAGGAGAAAAATAAGTGTTTCTGAAAGAAAGATTGGAGAAAATCAAGGAGGGTAAACAAAGGAGTAATTCAAGGAAATTGCTGCACCTGTTTAGAGTTATGGCAGTACACAACATCAAACACCATTAAGATCTGCAAGTGGTTGCGTCTAGGAAGTGGGAAATGGGATGAGAGAGCTTCCTGGAGGTCTACCATTTTGTAACAAGCCTCAAATAAAGTATGTGCTCGATAACTAATATTCAATATTAAAAGATTAAGTTTTGCCATAAACCTCAATCTTCCCATCCATAGGGCTGAGTTGGGTACATAAAAGTAGAGACAGTGATAAGGTCACAGCTGTGGAAACCAATAGGCTCCCTGGGAAGTAAGTAGTAGCAAGGCGCCATCTTATTAGCAGTGGGGAGATTCCTGGGTATCCAAAGAGCCCAGCTGCTAAGAGTAAATGACGCAAACCAAAATTACACCAGGTGCAACGCCTAAACTGACAGAGAAGCCAGCACATACTCGAGGTGATAAATTTATATTTCAAGGTAAATTACCAGATAGCCGCTTAGTTTATTTTCAGAAAAATTTCTAGTGGACACAAATAATGGAGGAGAAACAGCCCTTCAAGCTAATTGAAACTTGAAGAGGACTTGGCACCATTATCCTTGAAAATAAATATCTAGCACTTAAAGCACTAGTAGAAATTTGACTAAGATTTAAGGCACAGAGTACTTCAACTATGACCTGTTATTCTATGGTTTATAAGTAAATCATCTGAATCTAGATATAAAGATAGTCTATGAAAAATAGCTACTAAAAAATACAATCAGAAGTAGAAAATCGTAAGAATGGTTTCCTGAAGTCTTAAAAACTGGTTTCACTGGAATATTTTAAAATGAGGAAATTAGTACATTCACTACCTTTCCAAAAGATTTCAGCAAAGATTTTAATACAAATGAAAAATTAAACCAAACCCCACTTCCATTAAGCTTCATTCTAAAGCAAAGTTGAGAAGTGTGATAGTTTGACACCCAAGTTTCCTTTTCATTCTAAATCCTCACCCAACTTCTAACTGTGTGACCTGGATAAAATCACTTCACTTCTCATGTTGCTGCCATTTTCCTTACTTTTTGGGGCCCTGTGACCTTCTTCACAGGATTGTGAGATTAGGTGGTAATAAAAGATGTCACATCACTTAGAAAATACAAAAGCAATTTTAGTAGATGTATCACACTTAAAGCAATCTGAACACACCCATCAAAATGTGATTTGTATGTGAGTGAGCACATAGTCCATTTTACAGAAATCACAGAGAGCTGATATCCCTTCATGTAAAACTATTTCTCACCTCTTATACAAGCCCCCGGATACCCTAAGTATTTCTCTTAAATAGTTTCAGCAAGAAAACTAACCTGAGAATGATTTAACTGGACTTTCAATTCTGAAAAATCCAGCATCAAACACTATTTTATCAACTTCCTTTGGTATTACAGAGACTGCTGCCTCAGCATGTTCTTCCTGCTTAATTCTCTCTTTCATTGCATTTTTTATGGCAGCTAGGCGATTTCGGGCCGCGATTCTTCCACCGTCATCCTGTTTTGGTTTACTTGCTATACTTGACACAACTTTTTTCTGCAGAGAAAATTATGACATTTATTAAGGCAGCTCACTACTACCTTATAAAAGAAACAAATAAAGCATATATAAAATATTTCACACATTCACCAAATATTTATCAAGTTCCAAGCATGTGCTAAAAATGCTGGGGATAAAAAGGTAAAAAGACAAGTTCCTGTCCTCAAGGAGTTTACAGCTTAGGGAGGAGCCAGATAAGGACACTAAGTAGGATAAATGTCACGTCAGAGATAAATGCAGAGGGCTGCGGGAGAACACAATGATGGCAGCTAGCTCAATCCTCAGAGGCAACAGGAAAGTCTTATAGGAAGTAGCATCTACGCTGAAATCACAGCTAAAAACCAAAAAAGGCAAACCCATTGCCACTGAGTGGATTCCATCTCAAAGTGACCCTACATGACAGGGAAGAACTGCCCCATAGGGTTTCCAAGGAGCGCCTGGTGGATTCAAACTGCTGACCTCTCAGTAGCAGCCGTAGCTCTTAACCACTATGCCACTAGGGTTTCCGAAATCACAGCTAGCCAGGTTAAAAGATGAGGTGAGGAAATGGGACGGTTGCTGGGCTAGGGAGACAGAACAGCAAGTTTGAAAAGCCAGAAGGAGTTGGTAAGAGAGAAGTAACAGCCCTTGAATGTTACTGTTTTAAGGAGCTACATTTATACAGAAGACACAGGAATAGACAGCTATTGATAATTTTTAAGCAGGACATTAACATCAGATTTGTGTTTTGGAAAGGGACGCTGGTCACAGCCTGGAGAATGGGCTGGGGGGTTACAAACCAGTTAGGAAGGAGACTACTGCAATGATATTGGGAACAGATGATAGACTAAGGAGGAAGAAATAGAAAAAAGTGAACAAATTCAAGAAATATTTAAGAGGTGGAATTGAGAGGACTTGGTGATCTATTGGATGTGTGCATGGCCGAGGTGGCAGAATAGAGGAGGAAAGGACCAAAGAAGATACCCAAGTTTCTAGCTTGGACACCTGGTGGCATGGTAATACCATTCACTGAGAGAGGAAGCGTTGGTGTGGAGATGATTTCAGTTTAGGATATACTGATTTTAAGATATACTAAATTGAGAACAAGGGAGATCATTGCTGATGTCAGATGGATCCTGGCTGAAAGCAGAGAATATCAGAAAGATGTTTACCTGTGTTTTATTGACAATGCAAAGGCATTCGACTGTGTGGATCATAACAAATTATGGATAACATTGCGAAGAATGGGAATTCCAGAACCTGTACATAGACCAAGAGGCAGTCGTTCAAACAGAACAAGGGGATACTGCGTGGTTTAAAGTCAAGAAAGGTGTTCATCAGGGTTGTATCCTTTCACCATACTTATTCAATATGTATGCTGAGCAAATAATCTGCGAAGCTGGACTACAAGAAGAAGAATAGGAAATCAGGATCGGAGGAAGACTCATTAACAACTTGCGATATGCAGATGACACAACTTTTCTTGCTGACAGTGAAGAGGACTTCAAGCACTTACTGGTGAAAATCAAAGACCAGAGCCTTCAGTATGGATTGAACTTCAACGTAAGCAAAAAGCCTCACAACTGGACCAACAAGCAACATCATGATAAACAGAAAATATTGACATTGTCAAGAATTTCATTTTACTTGGACCCACAATCAACACCCATGGAAACAGCAGTTGAGAAATCAAATAATGTACTGCATTGAGCAAATCTGCTGCAAAAGACCTCTTTCAAGTGTTCAAAAGCAAAGATGTCACTTTGAGGACTGAGGTGTGCCTGACCCAAACCATGGTATTTTCACTTGCCTCATACACATGCAAAAGCTAGACAATGAATAAGGAAGACGAAAAAGAATTGATGTCTTTGAATTATGGTGTTGGCAAAGAATTCTGAATATACCATGGATTGCCAGAAAAATGAACAAATCTATCTCGGAAAAAGTACAACCAGAATGTTCCTTGGAAGCGAGGATGGCAAAACTTCGTCTCACGTAATTTGGACATGTTATCAGGAGGGACTAGTTCCTGGAGAAGGACATCATGCTTGGTAAAGTAGAGGGTCAAAAAAAAGAGGAAGATCCTCAATGAGATGGACTGACACAGTGACTGCAACAGTGGGCTCAAGTGTAACAACGGTTATGAGGATGGTGCAGGACCAGGCAGTGTTTCGTTCTATTGTACATAGGGTTGCTACGAGTCAGAACCAACTTGATGGCACCTAACAACAACAACAAATTAAAATATATAGAACTAGAGCTCATTAAAGAGCCCTGGTGGTGCAGTGGTTAAGAGCTCGGCTGCTAACCAAAAGGCCAGCAGTTCAGATCCACCAGTGGCTCCTTGAAAATACTATGTGGCAGTTTCCTATAGGGTTGCTATGAGTCAGAATCAACTTGATGGCAACAGGTTTGGTTTGGTTGTAGTTAGAGCTCATTAACAAGTGTGTTTTGAAATAGAGAACTGGGAATCACCACCCGGGGTAGGGAGGTAAGGCTGCACAAGAATATTGGAAAGAGAGAAGAGAGTTGAGGCAGGACTTATGAATATCACAAACATTTAAGGGATAAGTGGAAAAACAGAAATCTGCAAACAGGACTGAAGAATGGGCAGAAGTAGGAGGAAAATCAGTAGAATATAATTTCAGGGAGGGAGTATGGACCCTTATTAAATACTGCAGAAGGGTTAGGTTTTACAAATAAGTGTTTGATGACTTCAGCAACTAGGTTCAATAACCTTGGTGATAACTGTTCCGGAGGCATAAAGAGGGGGTAAAGTTGAAATGCAACGAGTTGGAGAGATAAATGGGAGAGTTAAACCAAAATAGTAAAGACAGAGTACAGACAACTTTTTCAGGGAGCTTGTTCATGACTGGGAAGAAACAGGTGGAAACAGGGGAGTACAGATAACTGGAAGGAGATGTGTGTGTGTATTTTCTTTAACGTATACAAAGATTAGCCCCTTAATTAAGCATGTTTAAAAATTGATGATAAGGGTGGAATCGAGAAAACAAGGAAATTAATAGAATGGGGTCAATGAAGAGAATTAGGAGGCAGTGATATCAGAGTATAGGTGAAAAAAGATTAGCTTTACTTTGATAATCTTAGCAGTAGCCTATAAAATAAAGTAAGAGGAGAGAGACATCTGGTGATAGGAGGGAGAATTACAAGGCTCTGATATAATGCTGTACTGATAACGCCATTACTTGCATCACTGACAATATTAACGTTTCCTGGATAAGCACTCAACAAGAAATACCCCCAGTAGCTTTAAAATGTTCAAGCATCCTTTACTGTTTAATAGATGTGAAATCCATTCCATCAATTTAGTCACTGTCTTCAGGGTCCCTTCATGAGACTGCTTCATTAGCAAAGTAATTTTGGGGGGAGTTTTAATTTGGATTGTAGAGTATAATAAAATACCAGTCTAGAAAACCTGATTTTATAACCACAAGCATATTTCTAAAATCATATAGAAAAACTGACAATGCTCTAAGGTAGTTTGAGAAGTGTCCACCTGAACCAAAATCTGAGTTGAAAGCACTACTATAAGAAAAACTACAACAACAACAAAAAATTAGAAATGGATAAACACGGAATCTATCATGTTAACAAAGCAAATTTCATGGGGGAAAGCAGTAGGGAATTTTATAAGATAAAGTACAGGAAAGAAGACAGATATTCTAAAGAGCCTTTGCTCATCTTTTCTATTTAAAAATTCTTTCATTTTGAAATATAGCACACCATGAAAAAAAGAAAAAAACCGTTGCTGTTAAATCAATTCTGACTCATAGTGACCCTATAGGACAGAGTAGAACTGCTCCATAAAGTCTCCAAGGAGCAGCTGGTGGATCATACTATAGAGTATATAAAACAGAGGCATAAAGTGAGAATAGCAGCACAATTGGAAGAGCATAGTCGATGTCAATGAACAGTGCATGTAGAAATTTTTGAAATGGTGTATCTCTGGCTATGTATATTTTCACCATAAAAAAGTTCGAGAAGGAAGAGGGTTGACCTGTTGTGGGGTTGTTAACCAATGTCATAAAACAATATGTGTACTACTGTTTCATGAGAAACTATTTGTTCTGTAAGCCTTCAC